TGGTGGATGGGGGAGGGAGGAGGGGGCAGGGAGAGGGCTGGACAGAAAGACCTTGTTCCTTGAATTACAACTTGTGTTTTTTGTTAGAGATTCCATCATCACGCAAGTCTTGTCTACCATAAGAAGGGGCACTGAAAGATACTTGTTCCTGCATAGTTCAAATGGAATAGGATACATTTACATTCAAGATTCAGAACAAAATTCTGCTTTGTTTATAACCGAAATCTAATACGGAGGCTATACTTTTTCATTTAAATGCTAAGACAACCCGTTGTTTTTAATGTTTTTTTAAGTTCCAGTTTGGTTTAGTTGGCTAAATGGCTGAAGTAACTAAAACACTTCACAGTTCATGTTAATGCAGGGAAGCAGTACAACTTAAAAAATATGTATCTTATTGCTACCTACATTTCCACAATTATTTTTGAGTTTCTCTTTCCACTGAACACACCTATGATTTACATATTTTAAAAAGCCTGTTGCTTGTACTTACCTTGGACAATACAGGCACCCAGGTAGGCAGCATCAGAAAAAGAACACAGCAAACGGCCATGGAAAATGTCTCTTTTTATTTGTAGATATAAGAGGTATCTGAAATATAATTAGAAAAATTAGGAGATGATGTGGCATCTTTTAATAACAGAATTAACTTATCAGTATGAAACTAGTTCTGTGACTATTCTGGATCTCTCTCTTGCTATCTTAAATAGCAGGAAAAAGAGGCAAAGCACAACCACAGGAAAAACCAGATGTAAGACAAGATTATTCTCAGTAACAATGAAATAATGTCAACAGATTACAAAAAAACCCCACAACACAAAAAAAACCCCACTAAGAGATAGCATGGAGAGTACTTTACTTAAAATGTACAGCTGTTAAAATGCTCATTAGTAGCGTGAGATAAATCACAGTAACGTAAGTTTGTTTGAGCATACCCTCTCTCATCAAATACAGGTTTACACAATGATATCTCTATTGCTATAGACAAAGTAGCACGTTGACCACAGGATTTCTTTCCTTTTCTTTTTATAAGTTTTCAAGTTCTGGGGCAGAAGTGACCCACTGAGAGAGGCAGCAGGCACAGAGGACCTGCCTGGTAGGAACCTCTCCCATTCCTCTCAGAGCTCTTCTTCCTCCAGAAGAACTGGGGAGAAGAAAACAAAAGGCTCCTTCCACCTGCCCTCTGCCTCTGACCATATTATTTCTAACAGCAAGAGGAGAGGCACAGCTGTGAGGCCATCGCTTTCTCTTTTGCTTCCTCCCCAAGAGAGCAGCCTCTGAGAGATGATGGACCAACTCACGGCCCAGTGATTCACTCACAGCTCCTTTCCCAGCTTCATAGCTGGTTGCAGCTGCACCATTCAGCAGCTTCATCCCTCTGGGAAAATAAACCATTTAAGCATTGCTTTAGTCAGATAAAGTCAATTATCTAGAGGGTACTATCAGACCCAGTGGCTTCTGCAGACCTTCAGAACACTCTTTGATGCTGCCAGTCCTCTACATCCTGGAACTACAGTGCCGCCAATGAAAATATGCTGTATGAATAACATTTATGTTAGACTTATTTTGCCCGTTACTTGGTTCTGTGTGTAATCATGAACTCCTGCACCAAGTAGCTTATCTGAAGTTTACAGTCAGTTCTAGATTTGAGTGAGACTGGAAGTATTATCTGAAGGGCAAGAGAAACTTTCTTCCCTTCCTTGGATTACTATTAAATGCTACATAAAGACGAGACAGTTATCACTGGGAAAAGCAATTGGTTCTTATTCTGGACATACCCTTCACTGCACTAGAGTATTAACTTTCTACAGGAAACCTGCATTTCAAGGCCTTTTTTTTTCAAATTTTGCAAAACCCCCCCTTTTTTTTCCCTGTAATCAGTGTGCAGTAACAGCTCACTAATTCACTTCCATAATTTGGTACTGCTACAGTACAAGTATTTCCCAGGGAAGATCTGCTTTAGGGTGAACCAAAGGCCTCAACGAGATGCAGTAAAATTCTTAATCTGCAATGACAGCCTACCAGAAAAGGCTCAGTATATTGATGCAAATACCACATACAACTTGGGCAAATAAGCAGTCTCCATCTGAAAACTTTTGGTAAGTCTTGCCATGGTGAAAAATTGGGTTGTGGTTCTCCAGACTGACCATTAGCTTGAGGTTTGAGGCTTGAGGCTAAACACATCTTTTAAGAAGTGTCAAAAAAAAAGCCAGCTATGAAAGGACGTCCCAAGATTTCAAAGCATGGCTTGTGAGCTGAGCTGTAAGGTCAACAGATCTCCAGTGACACTGCACATTGGTGGTTTCTGAGTTGGAAAATTATTATAAAGAGATACGAAAGTAAATAGGCTTCTGGAAAAGCATATTAACCCACTGCTCCCAACCTACATTTTCAGACATAAGGCTGAGAGGATAAATACAAATTTGAAGTCTCAGGGCTGTGCTCAGTCCAACTTTCCAGCTGTACGGATGGAAGCAAATGTTATGAACAGTTACTTTTCTATGAGTATTTTGGTATTTACAAGAGTAAGAGTTAGTTTTGCAGGAAATTCTTTCCCCTGAAACAGGATTGGGCAACACTGGTGCCCACCTTGACTGCCTATTGCAAGCCATTATCTTTGGAGCCCAGGGAGAACGGAAAATCTTCAAGAATTGACTCGAAGCACCTATTCAAGAGTCAGGCAGCCCCCCTCTTTTTCTCTTTCAAATTCTATGCAATAAATCACAAGTTAGGTTCCTGAAGTGAGATAGCAGGGAGTCTCCATGCCCCCCCAATCTATGCTTATTTTATGAGAATAAACCTGAAAATACACATACATTAATACAGTAGAATTCAAGACCAGTTTTCTTAATACAGGGGGACAGCCATAAATGCAAGAGTTTGTGATGGGTGACTAGGATACTACACCAGCACCTAGGATCAAAGACAACAGCAGCATCAACTGAAGCTCCTCAGAATAAGGCAAAACCTCATTTCCACGTACTCCACTAAAATGCTATATAGATGAACTTGTGAGTTTGAGTGGGAGTGTGCATACTTGTGGCATTTCTAAGCAAATCATTTGCTGCTGACCAGGATCAAAGATCCGCAATGTCATTATTAAATTTCTGCATCCACAATAGCAAGAAATAAATGGGTTTGTTTTCCTGGGAAATAAATGAAACAGGAATAAGCACTGGTATTGTACTACTTTTTGCTTAAGCCTGTTTGCAATATGAAACTACTAAAATTTGTAAAAAAGAATACCCCTCAATGTTACTTAATAAAAATTAATATATATTTTTTCAATCTAAATTGTCAACACATTAAGCTAATAAAAATATATTACTAACCATTCCCTCCAGCTAAATCACTGGCTCTGCAAGTTGTTCAGAATACACACACACAAAAAAAAACCAAACAGCAAACCAAACAGAGTTCAAAAATCAGAAAAATTCCATTACAATTTTTCCATAACTTCAGAATAATAAATTTTTCATTGTCTTGTCTCCCTAACATACCAGGGAGTATTTCCTTTCTGAAACAATTGGGAAAACACAAATACATATTCAATTTTGCTGAGAGGTATGTTAACAGAAAATAAATAAGAGTGAGCAGAGGATATCTAAGCAACACAGCACATAAGATATCATTTTAGGGAAAAGAACATCTGTGCCTCAGAGCTGATTTCTTCCCAGTGATCCTTCTGGGATGACAGAGCTGAATACAACCCACCATGTAGGCTAGCTATTGTCACAAATGTGGGCCATTGATGTTACTCATCTCTCTTTGCTTTAAAATATATAATCCCTAGAATTTGCTATTCTGAGGAAGAAGCTCTGTTTTTTCGTCCCTTATATGAAAGGAGGTTTGTTGTTGCAATGTTTCATTGGCTGTTCGGGGTGGGTGAGGGAGGTCTCTTAAATTGTTCACATACCTTTCTATTACATCAATAATTTTTGAATAAAAATATTGAAGTTTATTTTTTCTGTCACCAGGATTGTGTGCTACTGAGCTGCTGCATGCATTTTATCACTGAAATCCCTAATCAAGTAGTTCTTTGAACCATTCCATTTCTGAGGAAAAAAAAATAGAAAAAGGAAAAAAAACAGAAATATGTCCAGGACAGAAGGCAGCATTCAAGAGGGGAAAAGAGTCACAGAGCATATTTCATAGTGAAGACTGGAGAAATTGCTGTCTGGGACACAAGGCAAGCACTTGCACTTGTAAGAAGAGCAGGGAAATACCCACGTAGAGCAGAATGAGAGAGTCTGGATGTGTTTTTGGAGACCACCCGCACAGCAAGCTGCATGGGATACTGCTCATCTTCAAAGCAAGAAGGACAGCCTGGCACAAGACTAAGACATTAAGGAGTTCTTTCAAATGGAGGAGTTATATGCACTTTGGACTGAAAGTCAATGTTGCAGTCTTTGCCAAAGGCTGGCTCAACCTCAGACACTTCCTATAATCCTGATAAAGTAATTAATGTCCCAGGTCAGTGAAGACCTATGAATGAGTATCTGACTCCTCAATTCAGTAAGATTTATGCATGCACTTAAAATTGCCTACACGTACGGAAATAACTTGCAAAATCAGGTCTGATTTTGCTGCTTTTCTTGTCCTTCCACCACAGCTGTTTTTGCAAAGCCCTGGCACAACTTTATAGCCTGATTTACAGCCCTAAGTCCTGAGGCTTACCAGCAAGCTAGTAAATGTATGCTTCAGCGCTTACACTCACAAACGTCTGTCACTGGAATAACCTCATTTCCATCTATTATCTGTTTGCAATACAGATGACTCAACTCCAGGTTAGCCAAGCCCTTCCCTCAACTGCTGATGAAGGGTCAGCAATATCTATTCTTGTTTTCAAGCAGGCTTCATGACCCTCAGAAACCATGTTGCTAACTGCTTAATAGTCAAATTTTTTACCTATTTTAAGATGGTCAATGAGGCAAGAAAGCCTTCCCACAGCCAAACTTTGTGGTTTGTCCACGTTGTGTTTATTTCTTGTGTTCAAGTCACTTTACTCCAGTAAGAAGCATTTCTCCCAGTGTTGTTGCAGCCTTTCCAGCTGGCAGACTCAGTCACCTCAAGAGATCCAGCAATGTTTCAAAAATTGTTATCTCAGCACAGTGACTAACTTTTTCCTGTGCTACTGTTCATACTCAGGTGCAGAGTAGCAGAGGACAAATGCACCTGTTTACAGCATGCCTGGATTGTGCCTGGAGTGCCCTTCTCCTCCAGAATTTATGAGGTCTTTATGTATATTATTCTGGACACTAACTACACATTCTGTCTTCAACAGTGGATATCATCCCAACTAAGTAGTGATGATAGTTCTCTTAGTATCACAACTAAGAAAACATCTTTTCTATGCTTTACAGTGCCACCTAGATAACAAGGCTAAGACAGATAAAATCTATATTATCTAAAAATATATTGCTTGTCTACTTACTGATATGTTTGTAAACTTATAAACTAAAGAAAAGCCATCACCCTGTTAGCTACTGATAAAACACAGAGTTGACAGGTAGATCTTGGAGTCATCACAGACAGGTCTCTGAAATCATCAACTCAGGGCGCAGCAGCAGCCAAAAAAGCCAATAAAACTT